GTGTGTATGGCATGTGTTGCCTAAGTGGGCCAAGGTGCCTGTGCAGAAATCGGAAGACATCCTTGGGTGTTGATCCTTGCCTTCCACCTTTCCTGAGATAGGGACTCTTTTCCCTTTTGGGCTGCTGCATGTGCCAGGCTAGCTGCCCCATGAGTTTCTGGGGGTTACTGTGTCTGCCTCCCATCTTGTAACAGGAGCACTGAGATTACCAATGCACACTACTACATCTGGCTTTATGTGGGTTCTAGAGATTTGAACTCGGGTACTAACACTTGGGTGGCAAGTGCTTTACCTATTGAGCCATTTCCCCAGACCCCAAACAGCATTCTGAAACAATTAGAACTATTAGTTTCTTCAATACACGTTTATTAAGCAACGACAATTGTCCTCAATGGTACTGGGCCAACAACCTGGAAATTAAGCAGTAAAATTACTAAGCAGCAACCCTGAATCCTAAAAACCCCAATTCTGCTGCAGAATCTAGCTGGGGAGAAGCCTAGTTCTCCATGGTGAGGACTGCCTGGCAGTATAGGAGGAAGAATACTGCAGCCATCAAGTTCAACCTCTGAGTGTAGGTGGGATGGGAAAGGTCAAGGAGAATCTCCCAAAAGCTCCAGCTCAGAGCTGACTAGAGAACTGAGCAGAATTCACATGTAGAAGACAAAGAGGAAACTGGAACGGTGGCTCACACCTGTAAGCCTAACTAACACTCACAAGTTTGATGCAAGAGGATCAGGAGTCCATCCTCAGTTACAAAGTAAGTTCATGGCTAGTCTGAGTTATATAAGACTCTGATGCTGGATAGGCTGAATAGGCTCCAGTGGATGAACTCACACCAAGGGACACCTGGGTGCACAAGTGTTGATACGATAGGCCTTAACATATATGACAGAATGCATGAAATCCTGTGGGTGGGCTATGGGGGTTGCAGATGAGAAGGGGGCTTAATATGATTAAGTATTGTATGAAATGCACAAAAATTCAATAAAAAATATACATTGGAAAAAAAAAAAAACCACAAATGTAAGCAGACTGCCAAGGCAAAAGCAGCCCATGGGAGTCCTGCTGCTTCACTGACAGATTTCATTGGTCAAAGCACCTAGAAGGTAGCATTTGCTGAAATCCTCAGAACAAATCTAGAATGTCACCAGCAGAGACAGGTTAGTCTTAACTGTGAGGCCTTGTGGAGACATTCAACTGTGACAATGGCAAGTCCTGGCTTACAAATCCCTTAAGTACTTCCCCTGTGCTTCCAGTCTTTCCTAATGAGTAGACCAAGATTCCAGTTCTGCACAGTCAACTTACGTTGTTTTCAGCATCAAGAACTCTACTTGTAAAGATTTTCAGGCATGGGAACAGCAGGCCAGCCAGGGCTACATAGCAAGACCCTGTCTTCAAAAATAAAAACAAAGGAGGCTGGAGAGATGGCTCACTGGTTAAGAGCACTGACTGCTCTTGCAGAGGACCCGGGTTTGATTCCCAGCACCCACATGGTGGCTACAAACCATCCTTAACTCCAGTTCCAGGGGAATCCAAAGCCCTCTTCTGACCTCCGCAGCACTGCACGACACAGGTGCACTAACATACATGCAGGCAATACACTAGTACACATAAAATAAAATAAAATAAAAAAACAAAAAATCCTACTTAACAGAACTGAAACAATGTCTTTTAAAAGCTGATGCAAGCTGGGTATGGTGGCTCAGGACTATCATCCTAGCACCAGGGAGCAAGCAGCAGGGGAATTGCTACAAGTTCAAGGCCAGCCTGTTTTACACAGCAAGTTCTAGGCCAGCCAGGGCTGTATAATAAGATCCCGTGTCAAAACAACAACAAAATAATGCACTCAGAGGCATATATACCCACTTAGACACACTAGTACACAAAATTATAAATAAATAATAAATGCTAATACAGTTAGCTAAGCCTGGTGGCACATACTTATAATTTCTGCTACTCAGGAGACTGAGGCAGTAAGATTTAAAGTTCAAGGCCTACCGGGACTACAGAATGAGCTCAAGGCCAGACTACACAACTCAGTAAGGCGCTGTTTCAAACTAAAAAAATAAAGTAAAATAAAAAAAAAGTTGGGACCTTAAAGATGGCTCAGTGGTTAAGAGCACTTGCTGCTCTTCCAGAGGACTGGAGTTTGGATTCCAGCATCTACATCAAGCAGCTTACAATCACCTACCTGTAACTCAGGCTCCAAAGGAGCTGATGCTCCCTTCTAGCCTCCTTGGGCACCTACACAAACACACACACACACACACACACACACACACACACACATACACCCACACACCCCAATCCTAAAAGTTGTCAGGCATGGTGGTACCTGTAACCCCAGTGCTTAGAAGGTAGAGGTTAGATGATTAGAGAGGCATTCAAAGCCAGCTTTGGATGCATATTGAGTTTGAGGCCACCCTGAGTTACATGAGACCCTGTCTGAAAACAAAACCAGGGCCCTGTTCGTACCAATGAGATGGCTCAGTGAAGAAAACACTTGCTGCACAAGGCGGACAACCTCAGTTTGAGCCCTAAAACCCACATAAAGTGGGAAGGAAAGAATCAACTCCACAAAGTTGTCCTCTGACCTTCATCCAAGCACCATGACACATGGGTGCTAGTACACATACACACACACACACACACACATCATCATCATCATCATCATCATCATCTATACCCAATAATAATAAATTTTAAAAAGTTTTTTTAATGATCTGTATTGGGTTTATAGCCACAACTGTCATTTCACTTATATAGAGCTACTACTATTGCAGTTATGTTGCATGACTAAGGCCATCACATCAACTCCAGAGCTGGGTACAGGGGCGTAAGCCTGCAATTCTGGGACTCGGGAGGCTGAGGCAGGATTGCTTCAAATTAGAGGTCAGCCTGGTGTACCTGGCGAGTTCCAAATCAGTCAGGACTACGTAGTAAAATATGCTTAGTCCAAACTGGCCCAGAGCTATGTAGCATAGACTGGCCTCAAACTGGCGGCAAGCAGGCTGCTTTGGACTGTTGGTGCTGGGACTACACCACCCAGCTTCACACGCAGTGGAGGTTAGCTTGCTTCAACTGGAATGGAGGTACTGATTGCAAGCTAGTGATCTCACCTGACATCGTTTTGGTTTGGCTAGCAAATGGAGTAGGATGCAAGACTGCCAGGCTGCTGTAAACCGGCCCAGCCCAGACCTGCACTCCCAGTGCACTGAGCCAAGGAACCTACTGCATAGTGGGCAAATCTCTCCAAGAATCTCCAAGGCCAAAGCCTCACTGTTTTTACTGCTACTGCGACTTTCAGGGCAGACACAAACAGGGACCCAGAAAGAGAACTGTTTACTGGCCTAGCTGGAAAAGGGACAAGGCTTAGCAGGTATTCCTTTCCCTCCGTATTTCAGCATCAAAACCCCCAACCTTCCCTCCCCCCACTCCCGGCTTTATAGTTTAAACAATAGGTATAGAAAGCGAAGCAAAACGTCTAAAATAGACCAACACATGCGGTGAGATCCTCCTCAGGGACAGGTGTCTGACAGATCAGGATAATGGGGGGGGGAGAGAGAGAGAGAGAGAGAGAGAGAGAGAGAGAGAGACATGCGCTGTGATACCCTCCTGGGAGAGGGGTGTGTCACAGAAGAGGAAAGGGGGGGGGAGAGAGAGAGAGAGAGAGAGAGAGAGAGAGAGAGAGAGAGAGAGAGAGAGAGAGAGACTGAGACTGTTTGGATGTGCTAGGGTTCCATCTCCAATACGGAAAAGAAAAAATGTGAGATTTTTAACGGTGGAGCACAGTGCCACCTGCTACAAGATATCTTTAAGCCTCGGGCCGCCCAGCCCTGAGTCACTTCCCCTATCCGCAGTGTCAATGCTGGAGGGGGGCGGGCAGGGGTGAAAGCCAGAGCCCCGGGAGCCGGCGGCGGCCGCCCCCTTCTCCCTCCCTCCGGGTAGACGCTGCTCACCGCTCCGGAGCCCGGGCGGGCGCCGCCGTTACCTTGGCTAATGGCAGCTCTGAATGAAAGGAGCCCAGCGGGCTCAAGATTTATGAATGTGCAGGGGAGGAGGGATATCATGTGACAATAAAGGAGACCGTCTTATTCACAAAAAAAAAAAAAAAAAAAAAAAAAGCGGCTGGTGGCGGGCACAGCCACCGAGCAGCAGCGGCCAGGGCGGAGCAGAGCCGCTCGGACCCCGGCGGAGGACCCGCTGCGCCGGGACCCGCGAGCCCCGCGCCTCGAACTGGAGCCCTTCCCGCGGCTCGGAGGCGGGAGGCCGCTGCCATCCCGCAGGGAGCCGGTGACAGGCCGGGTACCCCGCGGGGCAGCCGGGAGCACCTCCCGGGGAGCCCGGAGCTTTGTTCCCCGCGGGCCCTGAGAGCGCCCCCTCCCGCGCGCCAGCACGCGCACCCCAGGGCCGCCCGCGGACACGCGCTCCTCCGCGCGCTCCCTCCCGCCCTCGCCGCACACGCTTCGGATCCGCCCCCCGAGCCGCCCCGACTCTCCGGGGACGCGTGTGCCGGTCCACAAGCGCGTGCACACTCCCGCGCCGGGAACTCGGCGGCTGCGCTCCGGCTGCTGCGCGGACCCGGGAGCACAGACTCCGCGCCGGTCGGCAGCCCGCCCTCCCCGAGCTCCGCCGTGTTTTTATGAATGAAAATGTGGTATGCAAATGAGAACGATTCAAGAAAACGACATGGCGGAGCCCGGGCCCCAAGGGCTCTGCGAGGGCTGCGGGGCGGGCAGCTGGGCAGGAGTCACCAAGTCCCCACGCACTCGAGCCCGCGGCCCCGGGAACCCCGGGACTACTCAGCCCCGGGCGCTGGGTTTCCGCGCGGCCGCAGGCACGGAGATCGCCCTGAGGTCACCAGCGCGCCCTTACCGGCCGCGACCACTCCTCAGGCCGGCGGAGCCTCGCGCAGCCGGGACAGCACGCCGAGCCCCGGCGCTTCGCGAGTTCGCCCGAGTCCCGCCGGCCCGGCGCCCGGTCCGCCCGCGGCTACTTACTCGTCCGGGTGTGTTTCTTCGGTCATCTTCTTGTTCACCTAGACGCCTGTCCCGCGGCGGGCAGCCTGGCTCCCTTCATCTTCCTGTGCGCTCGCCCTTCCTCACATCTCCCGATTTGGTGCGGAGGGGAGCTGGAGACTGGGGGCGCCTCAGCGCAGGGCGAGGTCGGGGAGGGACGTCGCGCGAGCTCCGTGGAGCGGCGGCCGGCGCACGGGCGCGATTTGGGAAGCGGACCCCGGGGAGAGCACGGGACCGGCGCTCCAGGCGGCAGGCACTGCCGCGGGCAGGCGTGGGCCCGGGGCGCCCTCGGGGCCCGGCGCTCAGGCTTCCGGGGAGCGGTCGGCGGTCAGAGGAGCTGCGCCTGGGCGGCGGTGCAGGGCGCCCCGTCCGAGCCCCATCTCCGCACTCCACCGATTTACTCCATATTGGATTCTCAGCGCCGCCAACAGGAGGAGGAAGTAGGGCGGAAGCGATGACGTCTTCCCAGCGGCCAGAGGTGGTGGAGTGCAAAAAGCTTCCTACTTGCGACCGGAAAAAAAGAGAGAGAGAGAGAGGAAAAAAAACACACACACACAACACTTCGTCCCGCCTACTGAGCATGCCCTGCTCACCCCGCCTCCCTCCCGCTGCCCGTCCCCGGGGAGCGGCGTGGTAGGTGCTGCGTCTGCCTGGCTCCGAATCCTTGTCTCCAGGGCTCCGGGTTTTCGGAGGTCCAAGAAGAGAGTGGGGGCGGGAGCCTGGGACTAGAGCACATCTGGCTCCTGTTTTGTCCCCTCCCTCCTTCCAAAGCTTCGGGTTGAAAATCGAGGGAGGGGGCGGGGACGGGGAGGAGTTAAGATGCTGCAGAACCCTTCGGCTGCGGGGACCCAGATCGCCACGGGTGCTGGGTGGGGGCGGCGCAGGTGGCCGCGGCTCCACTCCCCACCCCAGTTAGAAAGGGAGCGTAGAGGGCGTCGGACTTGGCCGAAGTTCTGAATGGCTGTGGACGTTCAGTTTCACGTGAATCTTCGACCTTTTTGTCAATAGAACAGGTACTTTTCTAGCCTTTTTTTTCCAGAATTGCCTCGAACTTGGCAATGTCGCTGGTTGCAGCCTTCCAAGCACTGGGATTACAGGCATGCACTACCATGCACAGCTACAGCGGACATTTTTTAAAAGAATCATAACTTGTACACAGAACAACAAAAGGTACATCAGACACAACCAAGAAACTTTTGCATTCAACAGAAGTAGAATTAAAAGGTAACACCAAATACATGTCTTAAAGTACCCAGGAGTCTCTCACCTATTGGGGAAGGACGTCCCTTGTCTCAAGTTCTTGAGTCCATAGTTACTCAGGCAGAGATAATGAATGCTCTTGTGGGTTTTGGCAAAGAAGAGACAGGAACTCTCCGTCCCCAGCTCATCTTTAAATGACTTTTCCTGCCTTAGCCTAGGTTTTCTGAGTGGTCTCAAGCACCACCTGGACAGTGGGTAGGGCATTCAGCTTGTGCATTTAGATAGGATTTATGCTTGGCTTTAAGCTCTGGGCTTGTGGTCTTGAAATCCTTTATCATTTTTGAACAGGGGACTCCCAAGTTTTCCTTCGATCTGGGTTCCACCAATTACATAGCGTTGGGTATTTCCTTTTGGAATCCTTCCAGGGAGCCCTTCCTGCTCCCCAAGCTTGATAGAGTGTGCCATGAGAGACAACTCAGAGATTTTTAACTAAATAGGAACTACTAAACAAACTAGAAGATTAAATATTTGCCTCAAAAATATAAAAATACTGGATTGGGTGGCCCAAGCACTAAGGCTGAGGCAGGAGGATGGACACAAGTTCAAGGCCCAGTCTACACAGGAATTCTAGGCCAGCCAGGTCTATATAGCAATACCCTGCCTCAAACAAATCAAAACCACAAAAAGAAAACCAGCTAGGCATGGTGGCTCAAGTTTGTAATTCCAGCATTCATGAGGCAAAGAAGGCAGGTGTGTGTTTTAGGCCAGCCTGGTCTACATAGTTCTAGACCAGTCAGGGCTACATAGTGAGACCTCGTGTCACAAGACAATAGCAGTAACAACAACAGAAAACCCACACACAAAACAAAAACAAAAACAATCTCTTAAAGGCAAATGCATAGGGAGAGAGGCACAGGGCTCCGAAAACAAAAGTTTTGCCTTGAGTCTGGTAGAAATTGGTGGTTTCATGCCTTATACAACCATGATCTTTGTGGACATAGTTTGGGGCTCATCACTTTTGATTCTGTTGCTAGTGATGAATATTGGTGAAGGCCCCAGACTGCATGGGATATCTGAGTTTTGGTTTTGTCTCAGCAGACCTGAGGCCCTGAAACTGAGGCTTCTTTGAGTTCTTCAACTTTCACAGGAATGACAAAACCAGCCTTGCTTTTTCCACATTTTGAGGCCATTGAGAATGAGACATTCAGGGCTGGGAAGATAGCTCAGTCGGTATAGTGCTTGGCAAGCACTGTGTCTTCAGCACCCACATTTAATTTAAAAAAAAAAAAAAAGGCTTGCGATGGTACAGGTCTTTAATCTGGCACTGGTGGGTCTTTGAGTTTGAGGCCGGCCAGCCTGCCCCTCGCCCCCCAAAAAGCTCTTCATGGTGGCCTGCCTTTGTAATCGGGGTGTTGGAAAGGCAGAGTCAGGCAGATCCCTAGGGCTTACTAGTCACCCAATATTATCTAATTGGCAAGTTCCTGGTCCCAGTGAGAGACCCTGCCTTAAAAAACAAGGGATGGCTCCTGAGAACAATACCCAAGATTAACTTCTGTGTGCATGCATGCACAGGGACACAAAGTAAGACATTTGCCTTGACCAAAGCCTTTGACTTTGAAAACTCTATGGATGTACACTACATGGAAGGGCATCATTTCTGCCTGTATCTGAAAACTCAAGCTGGAACTTGTTAAAGACTATATGGGGAGACTTGAGGAGAACCCAGCCAAATATTGGCTCTCTGATGAACATGACTGCACTCTTTTTTTAAGCATAAACACCCTTATTTTTAAGCATAAACAGCCCATCAGTCAGGAGTCCATTGGTCTTGAGGACTCTGAACTTGATGACTTTCTTCTCTCTGTTCTTTTCTGCTTGTTTCTGTAGCCTCATGAGTTGAGTTGCTTCTTCCAGTAGTGGATCTTGGCCTTCTGCTTCACCTCCAGGGTGGCTATCACAGCCTGGTACTTCCAGCTGACCTCATGAACCAAACACCTTAGGTAAGCAAACTTTCAGGTAGGTGTCAGATGCACAACGGAGGGAGGCAGGGACCACCATCTGCTGTTTCTCGTCTTAGACATCCTGTCAAATACTCTGAGGCATTCCAGGGCAGCCTGGCCTAGCTTGGTCTTATGGGGCAGCATGCCTTGCACAGTGGGCCAAAAGATGCAGCTCCGGGTCTGGAAGTGGTAGGGGCCACAGGAAAGGTTGGTGTTCACTTTAGAAGAAAGGCCAGCTACTCTAGCATGTTTCTGTAGAAATTGCCAGAAATGTTGATGCCCTTATAGCCCACAACCACCATCTTCCAGCCCAGCAATACCTGCTTGGTCACAGTGACTGCCAGGCAACCCAGAAGATGACCTAGGTCATCCAGCAGGAGAACTTGCTTCTCTGCCATTTTTGGCAGCTGCCTGGGAAAGCAGTCTTTTTTTTTTTTTTTTTTTTTTTTTTTCACTTTCTGTGGATTAAATAAGATGTTTACAGAACATTCAGTGTTGAATAAAATTTT